CATTGGTCTCAGGCAAACAAGATTCCCTAGTAAGGAAGAGAATTTCAAATCACCCAGACCTGGCTGAGCGCCTCTCTCCCTCCTGCATCTCATTCTCACTCTTGTTCTCTCTCTCTCTCTCTCTGCAGGTCTTTCCCCAGCAACTACTGGGACAAGTTTGTGAAGCGGAAGGTGACAGGATATGGATGGGGGAACTGGGAAGGGCCTCCCTCCCAAGCTCAGTCACTTCTTCCCATCCATGCCAGGCCCTGCCAAGCACTGGCTGTATGTCCTTGGGCAAGGGTTTCTGCCTTTCTGAGAAGCATCAGTTTCCCCATCTGGAAGCGGGCACAATAGTCACCACCCTGATATACACAGAGGTGTATAGCACAATGCCTAGCATAGTCCTCAGGAAATATGACCTTATCCTTTCAAGAAGTTAAACACAGAATGATCATGTGAGCTAGCGACTTAGAACCCTGATAACAGGCACTCAGGCCAATCCTTGTACACGAATGTTTGTAGCAACGCGCTGACAAGAGGCAGAGGCAGAAAAGACCCAAGGGTCCATCAACAGATGGACTGATGGAGAAGCCAAGTGTGGTTCCAGCCCATAGCGACCCATGTGCATGAGAACAAAACACTGCCCAGGCCTGAGCCATCCTCACGATAGTTCTTAGGGAGAAGCCCAGCATTGCAGTCACGGTGATAAACCATCTCGTGGAAGGTCTTCCTCTTTCTCGCCGCCCCTCCACTTTACCAAGTATGACGTCCTCCTCCAGAGACCGGTCTCTCCACCATGTCCTAAGTAAATGAGAGGCTCACCCTCCTTGCTTCCTAGGAGCGTGCTGGCTGTACCTCCTCCCAAGACAGATCTGTCCATGATACATGCAATATTCTGCATGGTCTTCCTTAGCCAGTGTCCAGCTCTCGCATGCACCGGAGACTGAAAAGACCATGGCTCGGAGCAGATGCACCTTAGTCCTCGGTGACAATGTCTTCTTCCATGCTCTGCTCTTCGGTTCTTGTGCAGATTGACCCAGTGCGATCCGCCGTAAGAGTCCTTGACTGCGGCATCCCCGAGTCTTAACCATGGGTCCACGTCAAATGATCCCCATAGCAACATGCAACCACCGCTTACAGATGGGTGGTAGCTCTTTGGCCTGGGATCGAACCTGGGTCTCCTGCAGGAAAGGGGCGAATTTGCCTCCTGAGGCACCCGCTGCAGCGCATCTCCTTGCCCGTCAATGTCAGAATAAGAAAGTCCTCCCGCTCGTTTGGCCAATGCGGGGGGCCTTTTGGAACCAGCCCTGGCCTTGAAGCTCTTAGAGAAAGCTCTGAAACGACATCTCCAGTTTCCCACACAAAGCTCGGGGTGTCCCTCAGCAGTCCCCCGGCAGGCTGAGCCCCTCGGCCCCAGCCATGCCCTCACTGCGCAGGCCCCGTCCTCCCACCCTCATGCAGGTCTTGGACAAACACGGTGACATCTATGGGCGGGAGCGGATCGCTGAGCTGCTGGGCATGGACCTGGCCTCCCTGGAGATCACAGCCCACAACGAGCGCAAGCCAGAGCCCCCTCCGGGGCTGCTCACCTGGTGAGACATGGCCTGCCGCAGGCCTGGGGAATCAGGTGGGGGGAGGCGGCCATTGTGACCTCTGGCCATCTGATCTTCCCTGCCCATACAGGATCATGTCCATCGATGTCAAGTACCAGATCTGGAAGTTTGGGGTCATTTTCACAGATAATGTGAGCAGGGGCCCATAGGGGGTGGGAAGGAGGTGGTCTAGCCTTAGGTAACCTGATGAAGGAATGACACCTGGATCCCTGTCTCTCTCTGAGCCCAGGGTACCCTGACACTGACCCTGCCCTGGTTCCTCATTTCCCAGAGTGTCCCTGACCCCCCACGACATCCTCTGAGTGCTCCTGAATGACATCCTTCTGCGGAAAGTTCCCCAACTTCCCCCTCCCCAGGATAGCTGCATCAGCTCCCCAAAGCACCCCTGAACCTCCAAATTCTCACCAGCCAGAGTCAGCGCACCCTCCGTGCCCTTCGAAGTTTCTGGGTTGGGAGTGCGGACTCAGATCCGTGCACAGGCGTTCACAGCGGCAGTTGTCACAAGAGCTAACACTGTAGACACACCCATCAGTGGATGAATGGGTGGAAAAAAAATGTACCACACCCATCCAATTAAATATTAACCAGGCATCAAAAATGCGTCCTAACACATCTGCCGCATGACTGAGCCTCACAAACATCCCTCAAAGGTGAAGCAGCCGCCACAGGAGGTCTCAGACTGAATGACTATAAACTCCAAAACCCAAACTCACCACCATCACCTCACTTCCCACTCACAGCGACCCTAGAGCAGAGGGTAGGGCTGCACCTGCGGGTTCTGCCACCATAGCTCTTTCCAGGAATAGAAAGCCTCATCTTTCTCCCAGGGAGCCACTGCTGGCTTTGAACCGCTGACCTCGAGGTTAGCAGCTCAATGCATAACCATTATGGCACAAAGGCTCCTCTAGATGACGATACGGAGCGCCCCACATAGGCAAAACCCGAGCCGCGCCCCTGGAAAGCTCTGTCCTTTCTAGTCTGCTTCCTGACCTTGGCCCTGTGTGCCCACAGTCCTTCCTGTACCTGGGCTGGTACATGGTGATGTCGCTCCTGGGCCACTACAACAACTTCTTCTTTGCCGCTCACCTTCTGGACATCGCCATGGGGGTCAAGACGCTACGCACCATCCTCTCCTCTGTGACCCACAACGGGAAGCAGGTGTGGACAGCATCTGGTTCGGGGTGGAGAGCTGGCTCCCAGGGGTGTGGGCTCACAGGCTGGGTGGGGTGAGGGCCTGCGGGTGAGGACCGAGCGGAGGGCTGGGGAGGGTAAGGCTGGCCAGGCAGGCTGGGCCAGGGACCAGTGTGGGAAGTGCCGTCTGGGTGACATGGGCTGAACGAGGGGGGAAGGGCTGGCAGGGACGAGGGGTCAGCTGACCCGTCGGCTTCCTACCCGCAGCTGGTGATGACCGTGGGCCTCCTGGCGGTGGTGGTCTACCTGTACACCGTGGTGGCCTTCAACTTCTTCCGAAAGTTCTACAACAAGAGCGAGGATGAGGACGAGCCTGACATGAAGTGTGACGACATGATGACGGTGAGACCCGGCCCCGCCCCCGCCCCACCCAGCGGCTCAGTTTTCCCGCATGCAAAATGGGCCGAGCACCGTGCTCCGCTCCTAGACTTGGGTCACCCAAAACCAAACCAAACTCACTGGCACCCAGTCGAGGCGGATCCACAGTGACTCTCACGGACCGGGTAG